TCACAATAGATCCTCCTAAATGTACACTTTGTTGCTGCAAAGCCTCTGCTCTGATTTCATTGTTTATAATTTGGGGAAATACAATTAAAGCTCTATCTCAATGCTTAATAATACTTGACCTTGAGAACCCCTCTTAAAGGATTGATTCTGAGTCTAAATCTAGTTTTAAAACAGTTTTGTGCGTATATATGTTGCATATTCCCAGATGAATAATCAAATACACAATAAACCTGGGACCAGGTAGAAACTGAACACATGGAGAGCCACAGCTTTTTCTTTGAAGCAGGTCCTAATATTCTGATGTTTAAATGTTCTCATGTTATTAATTTATCTGTATGAGTATACAGTTATATTTTTCAGTAAATTTGATCTAAGTATTATTATAATGGTCTAAACAGTCCTTTATTATTTCTTCTATCTAATCTGTTGAATTTAAACTCAATTTCTCAGAAACATTTCTATCACATAATCCCAGATTTACACTTGTGGCTCAGGTGGTGGAGCAGGTCGTCGGCAGCCTATGCTAAATCAAATATGTGGAGCAGCCAGAAAACAAACAAACAAAAACTCCTGCAGGAGAACAAGACAACAATCAATGGGGCTGTGAGCGGTGCCACATTGGGCCAAAGGCACAATCCAATTTGTCCTGATTACTGGGAGCAGATTCTCTGCTCAGGGCAGTCTGGCATCAGTCTAAGGCCACGTGAGGCTGCTCTGAAATATCGACACGTTGAAAGCTTCACGCTGAAGTGGAGCATGAAAAATCAAACTGGATTTAAATAGCCGAGTTCAAACAACCTGGAAACTTTTAGTCTGGGGCCGTTTTTCCTGGTTTATTTAAATGAAGGGAAATGTTAATGCTCCAGCATATTTTAGACAATAGTGTTCAACTTTGTGTTCATCCCATTCCTGTTTTAACAAACATCAGATTCTGTTATTATAAAACAAAAAATCTAAATTAATTATATTCTCAGAATTAAATTGAAAATATTCTCAGTGTGTGTGTGTGTGTGTGTGTGTGTGTGTGTGCGCAGTACACACTCTTTGGAGTAGGTAAAGACGTAGGTGACCTGCTCTCCGTCTGTCAGGTTGTCGAGTGGATGCCACCAGCAGGTGAAGTCCTCCATGTTGGGCGAGCGGCAGTAGTAGATGTGAGGCCTCGTCGTCACGGCAACCTCCTCTGTGAAAAATCGCAAAGTCAAATCAGCATGTGCCCATCGCCATGGACACGGTGTGCGGCGCGCCACGGCAACAGTACCGCTGAATAGTCAATGTGTATTTTCATGCGTGAACAGATTCAGGTAGACTCAGACAGGTGAGTTTGTTTATTGATCTCTTGTTGTTCACTCACGTTTTCTGGGCTGCTGACTATCAAACACTCTTATTTCTTAGCTTTAAAAGTTCAAGTTTTAAAAAATAAAACACAAACTGCAGTTGTTTGCCTTCGTTCAGTCCTTTTATTCTAAAGCTCTTTAGCTTTTATGAGGTGCACAGTTTCCTCTGGCTCTGTACTAGATACTGGATCAAAATGAGCAAATAATCGCTAATCACAGTAAGTTTGCTCACAAGATAAATCTGAAGGGTCAAAATATGTTTACTGAATAGAAAAGTAGAAAAAAAACGTATTAAACACCAACATACATACTAAAAAACTCAAACTACTTTCCCTCAAAACGACCACAAAGATATGCAAGAATAAGACTCATAACTATCATAAAGAGACACAACATGACCATAAAAAGACTCAAAACAACCACAGAGACTCAAAATGATGACTTGACTCAAGTAAACTGCCCACTGGCTAATGCAGCTTTAGTAGATCTGTGATTTGCTGGAAGGAAAATCAATTCCTCATTCAAAAATGAATACAGGAAAACCGCTTTAGAGAGTACAGACTGGATAATGGAGGAGGTAATGAAATGGCCATTCAGTTACAATATTAGGGGACACACACACACACACGTCAACAGTCAGCTCTCCTCTCACTCAATTCCACAAAATCCATCTCCTAATTGAATAGGTTTTTGCCTTAAACACAGATACCTACACACACATAATCAACTCTATTATCCAATCCATCTGATAGACTGTTGGTCCTGAGACTGAGGTTTAGACCAGCAGTGCAATATTGATCGGTGACTGAACAGCAGGGAGTCAGAACAGCCTGCCGTGACAGGCCAATACAAAGACACAAACACACACCATTAGAGGCGGAGAAGTGGAAGTGAGACTGATCTCTGAACATTTCTGTTCCAAACAGAGACATTTCTTTTCCTGCTTAATGTTTGGTGCCATGAAGTAAAAGAGGTGGATGCACCTGGATCCACCTCTTGTACAATCTTGTGGATGTACAATTAAACATGGACATAGTGTCGGTGAGGTCCCCCACAGGTTTGTGATTAGCCGTTGTAAAGCTGAGTGTCGTCGGCTCAGGCTGTCGCCATCTTAGCAGTCCT